TGCAAAGCAGATCCATGATGAAATGTCACAAACTATGCGTGACAGGGGCCTTGATATGCAACAGTTAAATGTTGCGTTGCCAATTTTTAAACTGGCCATTTTGGTGTTGAAAGTGAGAAACCCAGTGGAAGGCCTGTTTCTGTCTGTCCCTGCAAATGTGAAAGCCATCCATGACATGATCATGGAGGACAGCCGACTATTAGCCAAAAGTATTGCTATCTATCTGAGAATATCACGTGAGAGAGTTGGTGCCATTATCCACAATGACTTGGAAATGAGTAAGCTGGCAGCAAAGTGGATCCCCAAACTTTTAACAACCAAACAAAAGAGGAAACGTGTGGAGTCATCGGTGGCTGTTTTGGAACATTTTGCAAGAAATGAGTCAGATTTCCTAGGCAAACTGGTAATTAGTGATGAGACATGGATCTACCGTTATGATCTGGAGACAAAGGAACAGTCTAAGGAATGGAGGCACAGTGGTTCCCCCAGGCCAAAGAAGTTCCAAGTGCAAAGGTCAGTGCAGAAGCAAATAGCAACAGTTTTTTGGGATAAGAAATGAGTTCTGCTGGTGGACTACCTCCAACAGGGTTCAACCATCAATGCAAAATATTACTGTGCTTTATTGATGAAGTTGAAGCAAAACATCAAGGAAAAATGTTGAGGAAAGCTCTACAAAGGTGTCAGCCTGTTGCACGACAACGCCTCGTCACACACTGTAGGCAAAACTGACGTCCTTAGCTTTCAAGCAATGCCCCATCCACCCTATTCTCCTGGCCTGACTCCTTCTGACTATTAACTGTTCCCCAAACTCAAAAAACACCTAAAGGAACAACGATTTCAGAGTGCTCTGGAGGCAACTAATGCTGCAAATTAGTGGTTACACCAGCAGTCGGAATAATTTTATTTGCAGGGACTTAAGAAGCTGCAGGACAGATGGAGGAATATGTAGAATAGTGGGGCAGTTACAGCTTCCTAGATCATTTTTTTCTGGGGAAGGCTCAATACTTATCAGCACCCCCTCAAGAGAAGACTCCCTGGAAAAGACCCTGATGTTAGGAAAGTGTGAAGGCAGGAGGAGAAGGGTATGACAGAGGATGAGATGGTTGGACAGTGTCATCGAAGTCACCAACATGAATTTGACACAACTCCGGGAGGCAGTGGAAGACAGAAGGGCCTAGCGTGCTCTGGTCCATGGGGTCACAAAGAGTTGGACACGACTAAATGACTAACCAACAACAAATATATCACTCACCTTGAAAGCCCAAGTAGGGGTCAGCTAGTTCACGTTTTTGGTATTCAGGCGTGGCAAAAAGCCTGGCGCGTGGTTTGGATCCAGCTGCCCCCACCATCATCCTGAGGCCCATAGGATTTGCGGAAGAAAGAGGCCAAACTTGGAGGAATTGTAGAGGAAAACCAATAGAAGCTTTTCTGATTTTAGTGTCTCTAGATGTCAGGAGGAGGGCTTTCCTGGGGGCCCCCCTGTGTGTGGGTGTATAACATGTTTTATAGAGAAACAAATAAAAGCACTAAAAAGTGATTTATATTCATTGCGGGGCCATTGATTTGTCTGAATATGGATGGATGAATTAGTCGTTTTTGACCAAATGTGGCAATTTTTTTTTAAAAAAATCATGCCCCTCTCTAGTGGCTGGCATCAGAAACAGGCGATCTAAACCAGCTAAACATATGAATTTAAACACTTAAGAAAAAAGATGTCTGAGGATATAGACTTGTCCACGAAAGCTCACATTAAAATAATATAAACATCTTGAAGATGCTCCCACATTCTTGTCTCTTTTTTAACTATTTATTTTGTTTTCACCTAAAAAAATAAACTTTAGAAACACATATTAAAAGACCATTTCGTTCCTTAAAATTCGTTCCCCAGGTGCAGTAGACTTACTATTTAAAAATGTATTGGAAAAGGATCTGTATCTTTTGGGAGACCCCCATGTTCCCTGATAGCCAGGCCCAAAATATATTACAGTAATTAATTATAGGTGGGATAGCACACCTATATTTAAGTAATTACTAAACTGGCTTGAAGACCATTACCTTCTTTGTTTCATTAACACTCCTCCCACTTTTTAACAAGAAAAAGGCAGACAAAGAAATTATTTCTCCTTTTATTTTTTTTCCATACATGATAGGAACTAGAAGGAAAGCAGAAATACAAAAGGAAGACCAAGTGGTTGGCATTTCTTTCCCCTTTTCCCCTCTCTGTTCTTCCTGGTTGGTTCACTCCCTGCAGAGCAGGCCACCCCGACGGATCAAGGAGTCGGAAATTCACATTTTTAGCTGCTTTTATTAGCGCCTTTTGTCCTCGGTCCGGGGAGAGAAAGCGCTGATGGCGGGGCGAGAGCGCCCTCTTGTGTCCGAAGGGAGCAAGGCGGCTCCTTCTTTCCGAAAACAAAAGGCAGAGCCTGGCGGATGACAAAGGGAGTCATTGTTCCGGAGAGAAAAATCAGAATATGGGAACCCCCTCCCCTTCTCCCCACTTTTAACTTTTCTTCAGGTCTGCAGCTCAGAAAAGGGGGACCCACCCGATTTCCTCCACCCGCCCCATCCCTGGTTCCTCCCGCGCCCCCTTGGACTCCAACTCCCAGAATCCGTCTTGGTGGGGAGGGGATTTGTGGGAGCTGTGGTAGAATATCCCCCCCCCAGGGAGGGGGAGAGAGGATCCTTGGCGGGGAGGGAGGAGGAAAGGAGAGGGACATCATCCCGGGAGGAGTTCTCTGCATCCCTCCGCCCCAGCCTGGTGTTTGCTGCATTCACACGTGCAAGCAAATACCCGCAACTTCCACCCGCCTTTGCCAGGGTAAAGGCCAGCGCTCACAGCTCTTGCATAAGAAGTAGGGGCTTGGTTGCCTGCCCCCCCCCAGGGCCTGCGTCTTCGCCGCCCCCCAAGACAAGGGGCCGGGATCTGGTGAGTGGGGAGGGCGCGGAAGGCAAACCCCCCCCCATCTCCGGAGGTCGGGGAGATGCTGGTTGGGGCGAGGTAGCCCATGGGAATTGGGGGTCCTGCGCCCCAGGGTGTGTGTCTGTGTGTGGGAGCCGGGGGGGGGGAGAAGGCTTTGAGAGACCCCCCCGTTGTTCTCTTGCTTGCACCCCATCTTTCATCCCCAACCACAGAATTCCCGAATAATATGCATGCAATTAGAATGTTTACATGTGTTGGTCTTCAACGTTCTACAAGTATTGTTTTATTATCTTCCACAAGTATTGTTTTATTATCTTCCACAAGTATTGTTTTATTATCTCCCCTTCCCCTCCCGACCAAATTGTTGCTGTACAAGGTCTGATCCAGGCACCAATATTTGGATTTTTGTTCTGTCCCACCTCTGTACTCCTAGACTTTCTCTCTGTTTCTAGTACTGTATATTATAATCGAACTAATTAAATTGCCTTCCAACGCTAAAAAAAAGGGATGGGATTTACTCGGAACATCCCCTGTCCGTTGGCTTTTTTAACAGGCCAATTCCTAAAGCTTTGGGTGTCTCGCCACCTTTTTATTTTTTGAGAAAGCTGTGTTTTTCTTCGCTTCTCCTTCGCCCTCCTCCAGTCCCCTGTTTATAAACAAACATTCGGCTTGTTATTCAAAATTAAAAACCGACACAACGGGGGTTTTAAATGGGAAATTGGCAGAAACAGCCTTGCCTGGCACAAAACAGTAATAATAATAAAATGAGATTTGCTTTTTTTTAAGAAGCTGAAAACACATGGGGGGGTGAGGCAGCACCCCCAATCTTACATTCCCCCTATTCTTCCAAGGCAGCACCCCCAATCTTACATTCCCCCTAGTCTTCCAATTTATGAATGCCATCCTGGCAGGCAGGTCCTGTGTTTAGAAACCGGTGTTTTGAATCCAGAGTCTCATGGATGTAGAGCTGAGGGTTATTATTGTCTTCCAATTTATGAATGCCATCCTGGCAAGCAGGTCCTGTGTTTAGAAACCGGTGTTTCGAATCCAGAGTCTCATAGATGTAGAGCTGAAGGTTATTATTCAAATTTATCAGCCACCCCAAAGCCAAACCTCCCGACGGAATAGGGCTAGACAGCAAAGAGAGGCTGATCTGCTTATTATTTTTTTCCTGTTTTCATATTTTAATACTCTATGAATGCCATCCTGGCAAGCAGGTCCTGTGTTTAGAAACCGGTGTTTCGAATCCAGAGTCTCATAGATGTAGAGCTGAAGGTTATTATTCAAATTTATCAGCCACCCCAAAGCCAAACCTCCCGACGGAATAGGGCTAGACAGCAAAGAGAGGCTGATCTGCTTATTATTTTTTTCCTGTTTTCATATTTTAATACTCTGATCGGGTACTGTAAAGATTGCTATTATGGGCTCCTGTCTACTGAAAAAAATGGGTTAACTAAAAGATTTGTCTTTTTAAATACAGAAAATTGCTCTGTACCTGCTAGTCATAAAAATACTTATTTTTGGGGCGAGGGACAAGAATTGTGGAGGAATGTGGGTCTCAGCCTTGTTTAAAGTGAGGCCCTCCGAGTGCGACTGGGAGATCTAAGACACTTCGATCTTTTTGAGCCCCCCCCCCAATACAGCAAAAGTAAAATTCTTCAAGAAAAACCCGCTCAACTCCTTTCTTAGGATCTTCCACTGTTAACTTCTTCTGCCCTCTGAGAAGCTAAGACGTTCAAAACCGGTCCATTGACCAGCTGGGAAAGATGCTCCCATGCCAAAAGGATATGTAGAACAACTCTTTTCCTTTTAGGGATACATCCTTTTGAAGAACACTGATGGGTTTATTTCCCGTCTTCTGAAAATAAAATGAAATGAATGTGCAACCTCTGTTCTGAATAACCACAGAGCATCCTGGAAGTGGTGCTGGAGGAGGCTCTTGAGAGTCCTCTGGACTGCAAGGAGATCAAACCTATCCATTCTGAAGGAAATCAACCCTGAGTGCTCACTGGAAGGACAGATCCTGAAGCTGAGGATCCAATACTTTGGCCATCTCATGAGAAGAGAAGACTCCCTGGAAAAGAACCTGATGCTGGGAAAGTGTGAAGGCAAGAGGAGAAGGGTTGATAGAGGACGAGATGGTTGGACAGTGTCATCGAAGCTACCAACATGAATTTGACCAAACTCTGGGAGGCAGTGGAAGACAGGAGGGCCTGGTCCATGGAGCCACGACGAGTCGTACGCAACTTAACGACTAAACAACAACAATCCTGGAAGTTCCGCAGCACAGGCTGGGCAGTCCTCCGCCCGTGGTTTCTGCACTGTGGATTTCCCGTACTGATAAGAGAATGGACAAGGATCGCCTTGGAGAGCCTTACGTTTTAATCTTCTCTCTCTCTCGCAGGTGGCAGGATGATGCTGGCAATATATCCTTCTCAGACATCCATTCTTCACAATGCAGTGGAAACAGTTGCCATGGGACCAGTTCAGGTAAATTCCCTAGAGAGAGATGGACTGGAGGCAACATGGATGCCATGCCCTACTGTTCTCATGTCTGGGTCCAAGCAAATTTGTCCCATTTCCCCTGTTTTGGTCCTGGGCTGGACACTGGGAAAGCTGTGAATGCCATCTTAGGAGGGCTGACCCGCCTTGCATCCTTTTCAAGGAGAAAGGCAGGTTAAAACTATTTTAAATAAATAAATGGAGAGCCTGGGAATCATTTCCTCCCCATTCAACCATGGATGGTCTTCTGCGTCTAGCTAGGAGACCATTGCTCTGAGGAGGAACTCTGGCTGTTTTCTTTCAGGGTCTGGCGACCTTTGAGGAGGTGGCTGTGAGCTTCACCCAGGAGGAGTGGACGCTGCTGGATCCGGACCAGAAAGCTTTGCACAGGGAAGTCATGGAGGAGATCCGTGGGATTCTGGCCTCTCTCGGTAAGCCTTCCTCTTTTCCCGGTGGGTAATAACAACTGCATTTTTTTTTAAAAAAAATAGAAATTTATTTTATTTGGCCCATTTCCTACAGTTCAGTTTCACAAGTCCCCTTCTTCATATCTGGCAGGAGTTACTTGCTTTTTGGGATTAAAAACATTTACATCCTGCTTTTCCATTTAATCCAAACAGACTGGGTAATAACATTTATATGCTGCTGTCAGACACTTGTTTCCTTAGAGGCGGCACGAGGGGAAGGTGCCACCTTTTCATCCTAGATCGGGTGAGACCTAGGAGATGCATCAGCAGGCAACTGTGGGCAGTCTTCTCCCTTATTTGAGCTTAAAACTCTTTAGCTGTGGACTTTGAACCTTGCACCTCTGCTTGACCAAGCAGGACACCCAAAGAACAAAATTTAGCAAACTTAGGCCTTATGGCTAAGGCACTTTCTTGAGGCACTCTCACCCTGGCCCCCAAGAATCACACTTGAGGTAAAATAGAAATGATTTATTTTAAAAAGAGTAAAAAGTTATAAAACATAAAAA